TGTAATTATCTTTAGGGGTTGTGGAGAAATTCACGATAAACTGCAAAAAGTGAAAAAAACAACGAAAAATCGTCTTTTCTCTGTTAGCGTATAAAACAACGAAAAATCGTCTTTTCTCTGTTAGCGTATAAAAAGTTAAGAATGTGTTTTTTTTTTCAAATTTCTAAAGCTCATAGCAGGCGACTCCACGACAGTACGAAGATGAATTTAGGCTTGTTGGAAAGACAAAATATTAAGCTTTCATACGAGTTGTCGATGATGTAACTACCTTTAGGGGTTGTCGAGAAAATCACGAAAAACTGTAAAAACTGAATAAAAACGAAAAATAAATGTTCTTCAGCTTATAACAGGCGACTCGATGAAACTACAAAGATGTATGTAGGCGCGTTGGAAAGGTGAGATATTCAGCTTTCATACGAGTGGTCTATGATGAAATTACCTTTAGGGGTTGTCGAGAAATTCACGAAAAACTGTAAAAACTGAAAAAAAAAATGAAAACATAAAATTCTACAGCTCATAGTAGGCGACTCGATGACAGTACGAAGATGCCAATAGGCTTGTTGGAAAGGTGAGGTATTCAGCTTTCATATGAGTGGTCGATGATGTAATTATCTTTAGGGGTTGTGTAGAAATTCACAAAAAATTGAAAAAAACTTCGATTCTCTGTTTTTTCAATTTCTAAAGCTCATAGCAGGCGATTCGACAACAGCACGAAAATGCCAATAGGCTTGTTGGAAAGGCGAGACATTCAGCTTTCAAATGTGTCATCGATGATGTAATTATATTTAGGGGTTGTGGAGAAATCCACGAAAAACTAAAAAAAATATCGATTCTGTTTTTTCAATTTCTAAAGCTCATAGCAGGCGACTCGACAACAGTACGAAGATGCCAATAGGCTTGTTGGAAAGGTGAGGTGTTCAGCTTTCAAATGTGTGGTCGATGATGTAATTATCTTTAGGGGTTGTGCAGAAATTCACAAAAAAACTGAAAAAAACATCGATTCTCTGTTTTTTCAATTTCTAAAGCTCATAGCAGGCGACTCGACGACAGTACTAAGATGCCAATAGGCGCGTTGGAAAGGTGAGACATTCAGCTTTCATATGAGTGGTCGATAATGTAATTATCTTTAGGGGTTGTGGAGAAATTCACGATAAACTGCAAAAAGTGAAGAAAAAAACGAAAAATCGTCTTTTCTCTGTTAGCGTATAAAAAGTTAAGGATGTGTTTTTTTTTTCAAATTTCTAAAGCTCATAGCAGGCGACTCCACGACAGTACGAAGATGAATTTAGGCTTGTTGGAAAGACAAAATATTAAGCTTTCATACGAGTTGTCGATGATGTAACTATCTTTAGGGGTTGTCGAGAAATTACGAAAACTGTAAAAACTGAAAAAAAATGAAATAAAATACGAAAAAAAATGTTCTTCAGCTTATA